CCAAGTATAGTTCCTTTGATAGAAATGTTCAAGCTCTTATTGGAATGTTTTTCTAAAGCACACTCAGGGAAGGTTACTTTTGTGCCGATTCTTTGGCTAAAATGAGAGGTTCAGAAAACTGTTTTCTTTCCTTGCTAATCCTCCTCTTGGGCTGAATCACTTGTTTCATGATTAGCTCTCTAGTGTAGCTCAACTAAGATTTCCAAAAAAATCAGAATCACTGTCACTTATTTTGCTCATTCTTTGGGCAAAGAAGGACGTGATTGCACTCAAAGGCATGCAAAATGTTCAATAAGCTCCCTCCACTTTGTGCAAAACTCAACCCAAAAACAAAAAGGCCATATCAAAAACACTTGTAGAGTTGGCCCATATACTAATTATGACCCAAAATTCATAGCAATATCAGCCTAAGCAATTGCATAAGGTGCATGATATATACACCTCCTTTTTTTTTTATAAGTATATCTCTTTTATTTTTTTAAAAAAATTATAAAATATTATAGTTTTTTTAATTTTATACTTTCAACTTTCAATTTGTTACTTTCTTCTTTCTTTTCACACACTTTTTTTTTCTCTTTCATTTGTACATGTTACCAAAATAGGTAGGGTGAAGGGAAGATAAAGAGGTGCATGAAAAAAAAAAAATTTTAAAAAAAAAAGATTTGTGAAAAAAAATTTACTAAATTAAATGTTGTGAATATAAAATTAAAAAATTAAAAACAAAAAATTAAGAATATTTTAAAATTTTAAATATTTTTTTTAAAAGAAAAAAGAGATGTATTTATAGAAAAAAGGAGGTGTATATATCATCAACCATTGCACGAAGGGGGGAGAAATAAGGCCCGCTGGATATATGACTTGGTTAATTCAATATGTGATTTGCTGTCCGACATAAATTTTGGTTAGGTCAAATTAGGGATTTGGACAGTTTTTAAATTTTTTAATTAAAATAATTTTTATAAGATAAAATTAACTTATGTATAAAATTTAAAAAATTGAGAAATCAATAAAAAAAGAAGTTATTCAAATTAGTTTGTGGATAAGTTAATTTTACTTATGAAGAGCTTTTTTTTTTCTTCTCTTTTACAAGTATTTCTAAAAAATAGCTTATCTGCATAGATCTTAATTTTTTGAAAATATATTTTTACTCTTTATTATTTATTCATGTCGATAGTTATATATATTTCCTTTTAAAACTTTTTTTTAATATTTGTATAATTGTAGTTAATCAATTATTTATCTAAGTAAATGTGGCGGCGATAAATGTGAATTTATATTATATTTTATTTTTATTTTTAATTGGATTTTTATAGTTTTTAATGAAATTATCAATGATTAAAAATAATTTTATATAAAAACTTAAATTATTGATTATAATTTCAAAATCTAGTTTATATGTTTAAATATATTTATTTATTATAAATTTTAATTATAATATAATTTAAATATTAAAACATTGATTAAGTTTTAATTGTATGAAAATAATTTTTTATCATATTTAATGTATAACTAAAATATAATTTTTATATATAAATATTATCTTCACTGTTTAAAAATTATGAATACGTTACAAACTGAAAATTGCATGAATCTAAAGCCTCTTTCCAAAATAATGCCATATTTATAATGTAAAAAATGGAACCAATAACAAAACATTGTGATTACTATATTACATTTTAAAGGAGAAAAAGACAATCCTAACCTAAACCTTTATTAATGTGTATTATAATAATAATAATTATAATAATAATAATAATAATAATAATAATGTTGGACTAGCAGAAATCATGTTTAAGGAGTGTAGATTAATTGTAACACATATTATTGTTGTTTATGTAATTATATTATTTAATTGATAATTGTTTATGTGTTGTTTTAATGTTTTAAAGACTTTGAGGATGGAGAAATTCTTATAAGTTTAGTTGTTTGAAGTCGTTTTGTGTTTAGGTTATAGGTGAACAAATTTAGGAGAATGTATATAAGATATTTTAAATACTAAAACTTCATAAGTTCATTATTTCACAATTTTAGAGAGAAGTTTTTAGAAAGATAGATTCTAGAGTCAAGGGACATTTTCTTTCTTTTGCCTTCCTAGAAATGCTCTAAGCTTTTCCCAAAACATAGATTGTAGTAGCTGAGTTGGGATTGGAGGCTTAGGAGCTAAGAATCAGAGGCTTGTAGTTGTCATGCGACAAAAGCTTAAGAAGACGCGTTCTTTGCTGTTCATCCTTCTTTTCCCTCTTTTCTTGAATATTTGAGGTAAAAAAAAGCTTGTAGATTAATCTTTGTTCATTATATGCATTAATTTTTGTGTTGATTCGCCCATTATGACCTTGATGTTGAATTGAGTAGTGAAAAACCCTTATGACTTAGATTTTTAGGTGTTTAAGTTTCTTGAAAGAGAATGGATGATCTTGAGTATTCTTGTTCTTGAATGTTGCTCAATCTGGTAAATTTGAGTTGTTTATGTTGTGTATGTGTTGATTTGAAGATGGATGTTGAGTTTGTGAAGATTAATTATTGAATTTGTGAGAAGAGTTGAGTTTTTCATTATTGATGATATTTGGTCTTATTTTGTTGAAGTTGTTGAGTTTGTTTTGAGCGTCCATGGAGCTTGCTTAAGTGAGCTAGTGCAACTAATTCAGGAATGATCTCTAACTTGGCTTGCTTGGAGCGCTTATTGAATGCTTAAGCAAATTTTTGTTGCTCAAATGGAGAACTTACTCGCTTAAGCGAGTTGATCACTCCTTTTGGTGGTGATATCTACCTAAGCTCGCTCAAAGCGAACAACGAACACTTCAAGCAAATTTTGTTTGCTTAAAGAGTGCTCTTGATGGCTTGAAACGATTGTCTCTTTGATACTAGTAGCTTAATTATAGGCTATGTTCTCTTTATGTGTAGTGTTATGTTGTGAATGCATAAGACACTTTGTTGTGTAGTGTTGTATTGTGAATGCATGAGGTATGTTGTGTTGAACTGTGTTTTGGAACTTATGACTAGTGGAGAAATGTTATTTTATAAGTTGAAATATCCCATTGTTTGAATATGTGTTGTGGGGCTCTAAAAGTCCAATTGTAAAAAACGTTTCTTAAGTATTATTATATCTTGAAGTAAAGTATTGAGTCTTCTCTAGGTCCTTAATTGATATCGTATGAGGGCCAAATCAAGTTGTACTATAGTTTAGAAGCAACTAAATTGAGCAAGATATGAAGTCGATAGATAAAATGCTTAACTGATTATTAGAAAGGTGTGTGATATCACAAGGATAATTAACGAGTTATTCTCATATGTGACTTGGTTAATGAATGTAAATGTTATGGTGGGCTCACATCTAAGCTATACTATTTCTAATGACAGTTAATGAACCTTCCTAGTGTAAGTAGTAAAATTCGAGAAATCATGTTATTTTAAAAATGGATTGATATTTAACTTTATTATTGATCTAGTAAGTAAAAAAGATTATTTTGTTGTTGGTTTAGTAAGGTGACGTCACTTAAACTACTCACCTATGTTGTGAGAGATCTCTTAATTGAAATGTATGAAATTGCATTAAGTTGATGTATTGTTAAGTTATTAGGTTGTTGAATTGTTGTGCTAATAAGTTGAGTTGTAAATTGAAAAGTTACTATGTTGTTAGGTAGTGGTTTTGATATGTTGTGAAAAGTACATAAATATGTTGATATGTTGATCTGTGTTGTTAAGTTGAGCCTTTGACTCTTATTATGTTGTGTTGATCAAGCTGTTAATATAAATAGCCCATTGCTTTTTATATTATATTGTTTTCTTATTCACGAGCTTACCCATGTTTTTTTTTCTTGTTTTTGGAATGCGATGATCATTTTATTATAAGAGAATGATAAGATTAGACTAGAAAAAAAAAACTTTATTAATAAAAAAAACATTCATTTAATTAGTTTTATTTAATACTTAAATCACACAAGCATATCAATGTATTTAAGTTTTTCACAAACATTATTAATAGTATTATTGACAGATGAACTTGATTCTAATTTAGAGTGTATTAGATTAAAATTTCAAAAGATTTTAAAAACTTTTTTATAATAAAAAATATTGCAGTATTTGATTAAAAATTTTATTATAAAAAGTTATGTAATATTCAATTAAGACAATCAATATTTTTTTTAAGAGTACATCAAAATAGAATAATATTCAACTAAGTTTTTTTCAATTAAAAAAGATTTATTTGTAATAAAATATAGATATTTAAATAAATTATTTTGAACGATGAATTTTGTGAGATTTTTTTTATATAAAATTTACATAATTCACTTGTACAACAATCTCACAAAAACTTTTAAGATTTATCATGACTTTTTTTCCCTTTTAATTCTCCTCTTTCTTTTCTCTCTCTCTCTTTAATTTTCTTTCTTGTCCCTCACCCTTGTCGCTCTCTCCTCTCCCTCTGTATCTCTCCTCAATTTTCTTTTTATTTTTACTGACCTAGCATAACCTGATCGATCTACTAAGTTAGGACAAATTGATTCGATCATTTTCGAGTTTAATAAAAAACTAAATCTTACTTAACCTAATAGATCAATGAACTAATCTACCATACTAGATCAATTTTAATAATTTTATCCGTCAATGAATATTATAAATTTAAACACATAATTTAAATTCAATAACATGAATAAAAAAATATCAATACATAAATGATTATATATTAATTAATATTTTTTTATTCAAATCTTATTATTTATATTATTTTTTTATTAATTGTATTGTTTTTAAAAAAATTGATATTATCCCGTGAAATCGTATAAATTATTATTATATAAATTCATTAAAATTTATACTACAAAATTTTGATTATAATTAAAAAAAAATAATAAAAAATATTATATTTCTAGTAAGTCTTTTAAAAAAATCTTAAAAACTATTATATTTGTCTCAAATCTTTTAAAATTCACCAAATTTTTTCGTTATGAAATTTAAATAGTCTTATGAAAGCCCCAAAACGACGTCGCATAAGATACAACCGTTTTCGATCGTTTGAACTTTCCGCTGCACCCAACACTCTCGATAGCGTCACCAGCAACTCCGATGGGCCAAGAATCCCCGGAGCCCCCACCGGGCGGAGCAGCGTTACTGGGACGCATCCAGAATGTGGACAACAGCATCTCCCTCTACATCCACACCCTCACACGCCCCATCGCCCCGAGACCCCTCCTCCGTCTCCTAGAGCTCGTGGCGGACTTCCGGTTCTTCTTCCCGGTGTCCCTCTCGCTCTTCCTCGCCGCCCCCTCCGCCTCCCCCCTCCGCTCCCACCTCCTCCTCCCCCTCCTCCTCTGCTCCCTCCTCGACCTCCTCTTCATCGCCCTCGTCAAATTCCTCGTCCGCCGATCCCGCCCCTCCTACGCCAACCACTCCGAGTACAACGCCGTCGTCTCCGTCGACAACTTCTCCTTCCCCAGCGGCCACTCCTCCAGGGTCTGCTTCGTCGCCTCCATCTTCTCCCTTTCCCGCCCTCACATCCTCGCCGATCTCAATTCGCCACGTGTCGCCATCCGAGGCCACGAGGTTCCGCCCGTTGACCTGCTCATAACGGCCGTTTGGGCCTGGGCCCTCACCACCGTCGTTTCCCGCGTCGCTCTCGGGAGGCATTACGTCATCGATGTCTGCTTCGGCGCCTGCTTTGGCGTCCTCGAAGCTCTCTTCACCTTTCGCGTTCTTCAACTCCGAGGCTTCGTTTGAGGTAAGAATTGGAATTTCTGGAGTTGGATGGATGGCTATGTTGTGGAGTTTTGTAATGTACTTCTTCAAATTTAAGAATGTACTTGCTGATTATTATTCTTTTTTATGATACTCTATTGAGATGAAGTGGATGATAATGTTGAGTTTTGGTGATTATGTTTCATGACTGTAATCGAATTATGGAGAGGAGCGAGTCCTCTAATGTGTCACAGCAAGAGTTTGCAAGCTCCTTAGTTTAACCACTGCTAATGGTACACATTGCTTCTCTATAAGTCATCAAATAAAATTCTTTAAAATGGGAATAATATATCCAAATTCACATGGAGAATGATTAGGAGATGAAATTGAAACAATTGAATCGTGTGTATATGTTGAAACGAATGTAAACATTGGGTACTTAGATTGAGTATAATCTATGCTTAGGCCTTGGGTTGATAGGTGTTAAATTGGTTTAGACTTGTTCTTGTTCGAACCTAGAGCATTTCCCTAGACAATGTAAGAATGATTAGTTAATAATTTTTAGATTTTTAAAAGGATTTCCGTATTACTCAACATAATCCTTATGTAGTCAAGGTTCTTCAATATTAATTTCATCAAGATCTGCCGAGAGTTTTCATTATTTGTTAGTATTTATCTTAGTTCCCTCAAGAATTTAGATCAAGAACTGAACCAAGACAGCTGATGTGAACAAAGTACACATTGCTCCCATTCCAAAGGACCAATTCAGAGAAAACAAGAAATGCTTTGCCAAAGAGGCTCTCTACCAAGCCATATTAAGTATGGTTGGAGTGGAGAAATTCACACATGAAATATGACCACTGAAAACTTCTAGTAGGGTGTCCAAAAAGATAGAGAAGAGAAACTGCTGGAGTTAATGTACAATATTTTTATTCTCTCTGTATGTTGAAAGAATGTGATTTTTTTATTTTTATTTTAACATTTATAGCTTGTTGTGAGACTGGTTAACCCTTTTACAAACTTTTGTACCCGGTTTCAACTAAAGATTGTGTGTCTCTTCTTGCTATATTAATCCAATTTCACTTGTCATTTGTTGTTGTTATTGTTGTTGTTGTTGTTGTTATATTTTCAGCATTTATAATCTAGAGTGTTCATTGTTAATCTTTGTAGAGTTGAGTTTCCACCTTATGAGACTCTTACATATGCCTGTTGGCTCAAATGGTAAAGAATTTGTTTCACCTCAAGCGAGATCTTGGATTGGAGTCTTGAAAAATGAAAAAATAGTTGTTGAAAGAGCTTTGTCTCCTTAAGTTGGTGTACTTGACTTGACTTGGATTAATTGGGGTTCAGTGTGAATTCCATGTCTTTGGTCAAGGATCTTTTAGATTCCTCAGTCCACACTAATGGGAATGACTTACGCACTTTGCCAAAGAAAAATGAAAGGAAAACAAGTGATGGGGGAAAGGATTATATTATTATTGTCTTTGTCAGGTATAGTGTAGCCTTTGCTCTGATTATGAGGCTGTGAAGATGAGAGAAAATCAGAGTATAGTAAAGATTGGGAAACATTAACTGGGAGCAAGAATTCAAATGAAGCATTATAATGCATGCTAATAGTGTGAATAAAGAAGGGTACACTTCCTCAAAAGAGTGAAAATTAAATGATTAGAAGTTTTATCACATTGACTTTTTAAGTTACGGTTGGTATTCTTGATGACAGCCTTTCATCAGTCTAGCATATATGATTCTTGGAAGATGCTAATGGTTGGCAAAGTTTCTGTTTTTGACTAAATTCTCCAAATGCACCTTTTACTTTAGCCTTATCTGTTTTTGTATTAGCTTGTGAAATTAGTTTCCTGTGAAATACGGTTAGCATTGACAAAGATGAAGGTTACCTCTGCCTCTTCACCCTTCCCCTTTTAACCATCAGAGTTGTTAGTACTCACAACCAGTTGCTCTCTTCTTTCTGGTGGGTTTAAAAATGTTAGCCCCAATGTAATCACTTAAAAAGATGACGATTAATTCTAACTTCTATGTGGAAGCCTTTGACTCAATGTAACATACTGAATATCCGTTAGATGGATAATTAATGCAGAATCTGATGCCTGTATTTTCCTTCTAAATGTCTAGGTTCTCATGGAGCCCACTGAACTTTTGCTACCCGAGGGGAAGGAGTCCTTTTAATTGGGTTTCCAACAGAAAACGAAGTCATGAATGCTTTAGTTCATTGACAGCATGGATAAGTTTGGAGACCTTTATTTATGACTACCATCTTGCAAATATTGCTTTGTCTCAATTCTTATTCAAAATTGTTAAAATTGCTTTGGAGCTGCATTGTCAGTAATTTATTCCTTGGCATTTAACTATGTGTCTACCTTTACTCCCCTAGACGCATATAACAATAAGAGTATACATGTGATATAGCATACATGGTACAGCAGAGCTGTATATCATTTATTTGCAGCCTTTTGTCTTATGTTCTATTCGGAACTATAAGATGTATGATTTACATCGAGTTCTTTTTGCGTTGAGCAAATTAGCTATTGCTGTCAGATGTTTCTTAATTTTGAAGAGGTACTGTTGCAAAGACAATTTGTTGTGTATCGTCTCTGAAGACTTGAAATGCATTATCTTTTCTGACAATTGCTGTCAGAACATGGAGTTGTTTTGTGTCTAGTCTATCTCCGATTCTCACTTTGCCCATTAGGGTGGATTGAACATTAGTGTTTGAATTCTGTAGTAGTAATAATCAAGAAACATTATACTATGATGATAATTATAAAAGTGAGTGTATGCTCAATGGCATCCTGGGATCTGTTAAGTTTGATCAAAGAAGAGTTTGCTTCTTGAATTAGGTTCGATGGAGGGACCGTGCGTTTGTCTGATTTGTCTGGTGTTGAGCGTAAACTGAAATTTTGACCATTATCAATTGAAGGATATAAAGTTGTTAGATCAGTTGCTTCTTTTGCATGTGCCTTCTTACCGCGTGCGATGCTTTATCTGATAAGATGTTTTTGATTGACTGATTGATTGCTCTTTGCTTTTCTTTCAATTTTGGAAAAGTTCATATAAGCTTACCAGATTAGCGCAGACGGTGGTTGTTATGTTGTGCTGGCAGCATCATTGCCATAGTTAGGATGTGGTTATGCGGAACAGACCAAAAGACGAATGAACCAAGTCGTTTTTGGTTTTATTGACTTGACAGGTGGGGCTGATTGCTAGTTGCTCCAAGAGAATTATAAGCACATCAATTTGAAGGAAGCATTCGTCCTCTTTGATATTAGCCCGTTGAACATTGACAATTTTGCTCTTTTCATGCCTGTTTCTTCGTGCATTTGCTGGCAAATAGTTTCATTCACTTTTAAAGTTCTCGATTCATCACCATGGATTAAGAAAAATCAGTATCTTGGGTACTGCTCAAACAGTTTATTGGTGGAATCCACTACAGCTTGAGGGACCTACGGGGTACATGGAGCACTGCGTGTCTGGTATTTTGCCAAGTGAATACTTACTGCTCAAGATTTGGAGTGACTGGAATTTGTATTTTTGTGGGACACCAGCTTTTGATATTCTCCTTGCATGATTGCTTTCTTTGTAATGAGAAACTGGCTCTCTGCAGAACTTCAACTTTTTTAACGTTTTCTTGTAACAGCACAGCGATTGGAATGTTATTAATGCTATATTCACAGTAATAAATAAAAAAAAATACAGTAAAGTTATTTTAGTCCATTATCCTTTATTTTGTGTGGGTATATTTTGGTACGAGACTACTTGTATTCTCTATGCAAAACAACAACCTTGCTTTAGTTTGTGGACATCAGTTTTTCTTTTAAGTATTTAATACAGTTATACATTCAAGATTCAAATTTGATTTATAATTTAACCATATATACATACACTCACTCTGATGTGTTTTGGTAGGATAACATAGACTAGGGAAATGTGATTTGAATAGGCTGGTGAATTTACATTTATCTATCACTTTTTTGAAACTAAACATTTGCTTTGAATATCTGATCGTACCTGCTTTTCTTCATTCACTTTTCATACATTGATTGATGTTTGTTTAATTGTTTTTACTGAGGTGTTGGACCTGTGTGGGATCCTTGTTGGTCAAACAATGAGTGTTGATTTTTATGATCGTGCAGAGGGCAATGCAGGTGCGTACATCTTTGTCAGTGTCGGTGTCTTGGAGAATTGATATTGCATGAAAGAAGCAACCCTGAAACCCCAGTTCTTAGAAAACGGGTATTGTTGAACAGGGTGAAGCCCCGTATGTAACCAAATATAGGGTATGGCATGGCCTTAGGTTTGGTCATCAATAGTCATGGCATGGTGGCAGTCGTATTCATTCATTCGTACAACACCAATTTGGGTCTGTGTGAGCTTTTAACCACACACAACTAAGCTTTTCAAATGCTGTGTTGGACCAGTCACGGAGGATGACCGCGTTCAAACTAGCTACAAGCTGTGAAACCTGCAACATGCATGCATGCATGCATGATGATGAATAATGGATAATGACGGACAATGATGAACAAAGCTTATGGGCAGTCTAATCAGTCAGCTTGTGAATTGCTTATTGCGAGTCCAAGAAATTCATGTGATTGTGAAGCTTTTGCCAGTATCGTACGATTTCATTTTGGGAGGTTGTGACCATTTTGGCAAACATTAAAACGATTTTGGTCTTTGGACTCATGTTAATAACCTCTACTCAGAAGACCTCGCGTACGTCGCTTGAAAAATCTAGAGAGGACCACTCATCCAAAATGGATATTGGATGCAGAAACTGCTGAGCTTTACATGTCTTTCTATATTTACCATGTATCCAATTTTATCACACTGCTACAAACTGAAGAACCGGGCAGAGGGATTCAGGGGAGAAAGGTTACTGACACCATGTGGAAATCAAAACTGTAGAAGAGTTTCAAGAGATGAAGACAGTGGGCATCATTTGAAACCTGTCTCCCCTTACCCCACTGGCTATCATATCTGATCTTGAGCCCTGAGGCTTTTTTTTTTCTTTTTACCTTTTGCTTTTAATGATCTGATTGATTGCAATCTCTCCAGCCTGAAAATCTGTCGTTCACAACAAAAGTTTCTCAAAATTTAATTTGCAATAATGTACCATATTAGTGTGAGTTGATTTAGAAGAGATCATTGACTTATCATGGAAAACTGAAGTAACGCGTGGCTCCCGGTCTTTGTCCAAACTCTAAACTCAAGGATTTGTTTGATGTTTGAAGGGAAAGGAAGGAAATGATATATGATAGTAAAGAAAATAAAACAAAGGGAGTGAAGGAGGGGAACAATTATTTCTCACCTTGTTTTTATCGGAAAAGAAAGACTTGTTTTCTTCATTTGTTTGGTTTCATGATAAGAAAGGAACAAAAATGCATATAAGTGTATTTAAATATGTAAATAGTTCACAAAATTAAATTATACTCTTTTCACTTCCTTCAGAAAAAAAAAATAGTAGTAGCACTGAAATTTAATCACTTCAAGGAACAATTTTCTTCCTCCCATTTTTTCCCCTTTTCTTTCCATCTTAAAAATGCATAGCAAGCGAAGCATGGAAGAAAGAAGAGATAGGAGGCAGATGAAAGGCTCCTCTTAATGTCTGGCAAGGTGCAAATTTACTGTATGCTGCATGAGTTTGATACTTAGCTTAAATTCGGAGATGATAAATTTAATTGTGGTTCATATATTATTCCTTTTTGAGGGTTTTCTTGATGATTGTACAAAGCCTATTAATATTTATCATACTATTCAGTGTTTGGGTACATGCTTGCTGGGAAGCTTATTAAATTAATCGACTTATGAAAAGGGAAAAAGGGTGGCCCCAACGACCACTGCACAAATTTGTCCCTAGGTAGCTAGCTACATTGTGGGCAAGGCTACATGTCTCTGCACAGAACGGCCATCATAAAAGGGCACATGCAAAAATGTACCACCGACCCCTCCTTGTATGATACAACTTGCCAAATACACGGACACAATTGCAATCATAAATTTCCCCATGCACTCATGCAATGCAACCATTTCTGTGTGCTAACTTTCGCATGCACCCCGCTTCAATTACACTTGTGCTGCAAATTTGGTCAACGTAATCACCATGTCTTACCTTATTTTCTTTCATTCCCACTTAAAGTTCACATCTATTGGTAAACGAAGTAGTTGTGACTTTGACAGGGTTGGACCCACATGAAAAAGTAATTAGCCAAATCAAATGGAGTTACCACCAAAAATGATTTTATGGGTAAATATCTAGATTCAAATTAAGAGAGGCAGTGAGTGGCGTAGATCCATTTATTGGATGAAAAATAAGATCCCTTTTCCCGGAAAGATTATTGGCAGCATGGGCTGGAACATGCCATGGGCAAAATTGAAGTTAGATGAAATGATATAGAAATTTTGAAATGTTAGTGGGGAAGCAAAGACATGTTGCTCCATTCATAGAAGACATGAGGAGCTGTGGGAGGGGCCAACCGGTTGTTACTACTTGTTTAGTGCTTCAATGAGTTGTTTCCCAACTGCAAGAGTTTGGTGACTCATCTGAATCCCCCATATGGAGGGGATTTTTTATTTTTATTTTTTTATTGTGCTATATAGTACGTACTTTTGTAAACATGGATTTGATGTTTGGTGGTTGTTTTCTTTGGTAAGCCCATGCTTTCTGTATTAATGTAATCCATTAAGATGATGTTACATGAGCAAAGAGAAAACAATCTTTGAACAAGCTAAGGGAACCCTCGATAGTTTAGAGAAAAAGAAAAAGTAAAATGAAAGGTGGGCATTAAATCTCTGAAGTCTGCAATTCTCATTATTATTATTATATATTATACATACATATATATATATATATTCCTATCGTAAGTCTGCTGTCATCGTTAGGGTCACTGCATCCGAGATATTGTCCGCTTTGACATTTATTGGGTTGTCCCTCCTTCTAGTGCCAAATGTTCCTACCGTAAGTTTGCTGTCATCGTTAGGGTCATTGCATCCGAAGTATTGTTCGCTTTGACACTCGTTAGGCCGTCACGGTTTTTTCCTTTAAAAGGTGCCTTGGTAGGTTAAGAAGGAAATGTGTTTATAAATTACCCTTAACCTCGACTCCTAAACGATGTGAGACTTTTTTAGGCATAAAAGGAACAATATATATATATATATGGTACTGATGGGTTTGGGGGCCATCCTGCACGTACTGAACTTGAACATACCCCACCTCAGCCCTTTGAAAATCTTTCCAAACGGGTATCAAATCTTTGAAATTCTCCACGCAGTTAATTAAGAATCCCCGTTCCACTACTACATATATATACAAAATGCCTGATTGGGGAAGCCTCCGAAAGCATTTTATAAGGGAAAAAAATTCAATAAGTTAAAATTAAATTATATTAGGAATTTTATCTTACTAATTTCTCTAAAATATTAATTTTAATTTATACATAAGTTGGTCCTAACTTATAGAAAAAATTATCTTAATTATCTTTCATTTTTTTCAGTTGAAAGTACTTTTGGAGAAACTTATTGAAAGATACTCAAAAATGATATTTACTGCGTTAAAATCTGTTTCACCACTCCGAAATATCGTTATGTTTAATTTGGTCATTGCCAGCGGTAGATGGTAGAGACTGAAAAGGACATATGTTTAAATTAGAAGCAATTAATATTAAACGTTTCAGTCTTCCAAAGGGGCACAAGGAATATTAAGCAGCGTGGATCACTGTATCACGGCGATCAAGTTAGCTAGTTGTCATCACTCATCACTATAACCAATGTCCATCTATTATGGTGCTTTTACATGTGTGCAACATAAAAAGTGAGAATTACTTTTGCATTAAAGATATTACTTGAAGTTGCATAATTACTCAAAAGAAGGAATTTAACTTTTTTAAAAAATATACATAATTTAACATGATGAATGATTGGTTTTAGCTCTCACTTATATCCATGCCAAAATTGTGAATTCAAGGTGAAAATTTTGAGAATTCTAAAAAAAGGGTAAAAAAACTCAAGTTGATGGAGTACATTTAAGGTCAATGGAAGTGTGTGCGTGGCGTTCTATCCTTTTCTATTTGTTTTTGTTTCCTTCTATGTATATGCAGGATCGATGCATCACATACTGGTAGCATCATTAGCTCACGCAACACATACAAGCATAAAGGTACGAGTCATTATGTACAAAATAATAATAAAATCTGAGGATTACACCATCCCATATAACTTGGAAATGATGCTCCCACACACTGCTGCTTCCTAATACACATACAAAAGCTTATTCGAATATTCATGTGGATTTCGCAAACACCAAACAAATACGACACCCCTCTCTAAACTACATAAATATAAGGACGTCATATGCAATCCTATTCAAACACAGTAAAGTTAAATATAAAACACATTTAAGATTCTCACATATTTAGTATAATATTTCAAGGGAAATTAATTATATTTGCACGTCAATTTCGTACAATTGTCTCTGCAAATTAAAGAGAGATATAGGAAGATAAGCGAGAGAGGTTTGAGACAAGATAAGTTATGTAAAAGAGAGAAATAAAGGAAAGAATGACATGATCTTATGTAATTTATATTTTATAATTTAAAATTAAGGAGAGGAAAAAAACATGACTTTAAAGAATGTAGTATCACGAGTCATTATATTCAATAGTCGTCTTCACTAAAAATAGTGAAGATATATAGAAAATGATTTATCGACACTTTGCGTTAATCTACACCCAGAAAAATAAAGAGATATAAAAGAGAGAAGTTTAAATTTGATAAGTAATATGAAGTGAAAAATAAAAAGATAAAAAGAAATACAAAAATATCGATTAGATTTATATATTGTATGACTATTCATATATCATTACTTGAACATATAAGATGTTTAGCTATAACAATCACACTCACATGTATCAAACGTGAATATTTTATTTGTACCCCAAAATAGATATTTTACAAAATATAGAGATGTCAGGATTGTATGCCTGCGCACTAAACATCTTTTGAATAATATATACTTCTAAATTAATGCCTTAACTAGCTAGTGAACTATAGTGATTTAAGTTAATTTTTACTTTATCTTAATTTTGTTCAATTAGCTAAACTAATAATATTAATTT